GGGCGGGTTGCCCCCGGGGGGGTTTGTGGCGGCGGCGGGGGGGGGGCCCGGGACCCGCTCGGGTTGGAGGGGGGGTTGTTTTTGGAAGGCGGGGGAGTGCTATTGATCCGGTCTTTAGGAAGAGCATGGTGGCCGCGTCGGGGGGGGGGGAGGGGGGGGAAAGGACTCGCAGCCGCCGCCATGGGTAGGAGCGGTGCTTTGGGCTAGCCTGCACGCGCTTCCGCAGGTGAGCGGTGGGGCGTTGGGGGCTCGCGTGAGGGGGTGTGCGTTGGAGTTTGGCGGATGGGTTTTGCTGGAACGTGGTCGGATACACCCGGAGGGAGGGAGGGAATTGAGCAGTCTCGTTGGTTGCCACAGTCGTCGTCACCGTGTTAGTGTTGGTGTTAGTGTTAGTGTTAGTGTTAGTGTTTGCTCTCCAGGAACAGGCTCGTTGAAGCGATGGCCGGGGGCTGAGGGGATGAGGGTAGTGAAATCGTTGGAGGAGGGGATAAATACAGAAAGGGCAAGCATCTCCCGCGCTCAGATGCTCTTGTAACCCGTTCGTCTTCGGGAAGAATTGTCAGTCGGGCGTCACTAAACCCTGGGACTCGACTGGTGCTGCACATCACCTCAGAGTCTATCGTGTTCGATCGATGGAGTCCGCACACAGGATGTTTTCCCATGTCCCGTTATTTTTCTGGTGTTTCTTGTATGTTTTCCTCATTTTTTGTGTTTGTGTCAGCCGTTAGCGCGTGTGTTATTCTGAAACACCCCGTGACCTTACTTGCACGCTTGGATGGTTAGGCGGGCGGCGAGAAGACAAGGAAAAGGAACGGAAGGACAAAAATAGGCACAAAAATAACAAAAGTATCTGAACTTATCCCCCCGTCTCTAATGTCTGGGCGCCGCTCTTTCCCATGCTGTAGTCGACCCCGAGAGCTCAATCTGACAGCCCCAAACCGCCACCTGATCCGCCCCGCCCCAAATTTTTCTCCTCCCAGGGAAACGCGGACCAATACCTGGCGCTGGCGGCCCTCCCTTCGTGCCTCCGGGGAGCCCCAGCGGCGACTCCATTGGCCGGTGGCGTCCGCGGCGCCGCCGGAGGGGCCGGCATCGGACACCTGGGCGCTCTGTGGGGCATCCCAGGAGTCGGCGGCTCGGTTTCCGGTGGCGGCGGCGACGAGGCCGACATCGAGGAGGCTAAGGCTACGGTGGAGATGCTCGTATCCCGGTCCCTCTTGCATCGGAGGTCGCCGGTGGTGGACAGCGGCGACGGCGGCAACATCCCGGCGGACGCAACGGCGGCGGCGGCGGCGGGTCCCGAGACCCTGGAGCCCGACAGGTACGCCATGCACGCGCTGCAGGCGGCCTACGTGAGGTCGGTGGCGCGCGGCCGCCTGGACCTGATGAAGACCCTTGACGCGCGGCGGGAGGCGGCGCTCCTGGTGCCCGGTCCGGACCGCGCACCGGCCCTGGAGACGGCGGCGGCGGTGGCGGCGGTGACGGCGACGCCGAACAGGAGGAGCGGCGGAGATGGCGGCAGCAGCCGCGGCGGCGGCGGCGGCGGGGCGTTATCACGCGGGACGAAATGTAGGCTGGCTGTTGGGATCCATCCCCCGGTTTGACTTGCAGGCTTTGTTCGTGCGTTTGTGACTGCATGGCTGGCTCTAGATGGTGTTTGGGTTTGCGCGTGCTGTTGGGAACGGACGGGAGGACGAGGTAGGTTGCCCTCCGCCACCCGCTCGTCCACGCAACGCCATGAAATACGCCGCGTAAGATTTGCAGCATCGCTCCGTCGCTGACGCTGTGCGGCCGCCGCTGCCGCTGTGGGCCTGGACGGCGAGTGTCATGAAACTGGGCCGGCTCGCGGCATCGCCCGCGACTTGTCCCGAAAAATGGCAGTCGCGGGCAATGCCCCGAGCCGCTTACATCAATGACGCTCACTGTCCAGGCCCGCAGCGGCGGCGGCGGCGGCGGCGGCTCCGCGCAGCGCCAGCGACGGGAAGGTGCTGCAAGCCTTGCGTGAAAGGTTGACCATGGGAGTCTGCTGGTGGCGGAGGGATACCTGCCAGGTCCTCCCGGTTCCGCTCCTACCAGTGGGCTTGCGATTATTTTAGTCGGACCGCGGTTTGGGTCGCGGTTCTCTCCCCCAGCTGTTAGCTGGTTATTGCTTCTCGTCGTTTCGGAGCCCCGCGGCAGCGATAGGGGAGTGCTTGGGACGCGAGGCACCCCCGTGGCCGACAGCAATGAGTTCCAAGGGCTGGTCGCATTGACATGAGGACAACGTCTTTTTTTTTTCGATCGTGATTTTTTTTTTTTTCCACAATCGATTTTTTTTTGTTTTTTTTCTTCATCTCTACAGTACTTGCCCCCTCCCTCTCTTCCTTTTGCTCTCCCTCGCATATATCCCAAATTACACGGCTTTTTTCGCTCGCTCCCCCCCCCCCCAACCTCATTGGTTGTTCTTGTACAGCGCTGCCGAGATCAGGGACCCGCGGGTCATCCTTCTTGGGCACCCCGGCGTCCACTCGAAAAAGCTCGAGAAACCGCCCTTCGCCGGCATCCGCCGCCGCCGCCGCCGCGTCTCGGTCCCGTGAACAGCGACAGCAGCAGCAGCAGCAAGCGGGGGGGCAGTCGTCGACCGCCTCCCCGGCGGGATCGTCCGCCTACAACGGCAAGGGCAACCGCAAGAAGAAGATGGCCGCTGCCGGCGGCACCGCCGACAACGACGACACCCTGAGCGACCTTAGCGTTTCCGTCTATACTGAAGACGTCCTCCTGCGAGTCGGCGCGTCCGGCGGGGCGGTAAGGACAGGGGCGGCGGGTGACGGAGGGAGGCGAGGGGGAGGAGGAGGAAAGGAAGCGGCGGCGGCAGCAGCAGCAGCAGCAGCAGCAGCAGCAGCAGCAGCAGCAGGCGCGGCGGGGACGGTGCCGGTGTCTTGGGCGTGGCCGGGAGCGGCCCCGAAGCGGGGAGCGGCTCGCGGCGCCATGGCGATCGCGAAGGGAATACCGCTGCCGCCGGCCACCCCGGGGTCCGGGGCGGGTTCGGGTGGCGACAACGAGAGCGACTTCGGCAGCTGCACCGGCGACCGCCGGCCGAAGAGGGGGGCACGAGGCACGGGCGGCGGTGGCCGTAGGGGTAGCGGCGGCGGCGTCGTGACGGCGGCTGGCAGGGGGAGCGATGGGGAGGTCGACGGGTATCGGGATGGCCACGAACGGGTTGCCGTCGACGAAGCTGTGTCCGACTCCCGGGATGGCGGCGGCAATGGCTGCGGTGGTAGCCGGAGCGGGAGGTCGACCGCGCGTCGCGCTTTGCGCCGGTGAGAGGAGCGTATAGCAGTCCGTGCCCGACGGCAGCGAGAGCGTGAAGATCAACCAGATATATCTCGAAATGAGAAAAGAGTCAACATGCACAGAAAAGGACACGGTGGATAAGTTTGCGTTCTTACCACCGTTTTTTGCAGGCCCTCCGTTCAAGCCTGGCGCCTTGTTTTTGCAGAGTTCTATGTTCGAGGCTATAATCTTATCACGGTTGTATCGTTGTATCGCAACTGTTCGGTAGTGCCGCGGTTTCCGAACAAGTTCAGCATTTATCGTGACGGGGAAATTCTTCTACTTCTCAACGTAGCTACGTGATAAGCTTAGCAGCATCTCTCTTGCTGTATCCCGCTACTTTTGATGCATGTCTCCTCTGTTCTTGTTCCGTGTTCTTGTTCCGTGTGAACGTGCGTGTGAACGTGCGTGTTGCGCACGAGTTCAAAAGCGCTCCTGTTTATTGCCGCCCAAAACACTACCTACCTCCCGAAACGCTCGACAAACGCATTCGGCAGATAAGCGGCGCGCAAGCACGCGTGAAAGCACGCAAACACGCGGGAATGTAAACGCCCGATGACTTAACGGGCGCAATTGGTCGGGCCGCGCACTCTGTCGCTGACTCCCCTCGTTTCCGTTCCCTCCTTCAACCTCCCACGTGTCTGTTCTTTTCTCACTCTCTCTTGTCTTCGGTTTAACGTCTCTCGGTGACAGAACTGCCAGCGGGGGCGGGAGCTTAAGCCCTAGCGCGGCGGCGGCGGCGACGACCCCCGGTCGATCCTCCCGCTCGTCTTCCTCCCCCGGCAGCGACCGCGGGGGCACTAGCGGCCGGAGGTCTTCGGCGGGCGATCACCACCGTCAACAGCAGCAGCAGCAGCACCGAGGAGGAGGAGACCGCGATCAGCGGGGGACCGCGGCGGCGATAGAGCGAGGGCCGTCATCATCGCATCAACAACAACAACAACCACCTCCGTCGCCGTCCCCTCCGTCGTCGTCGAGGCGAAACGGCGGGATGGGAGTCGCGTCGCCGCCGCCGCCCCCGCCGGTGCAGGCGGAGGACTCAGCGGTGGCGGCGGCGGCGGCGGCGGCGCGATTGCGACAACAGCGGCGCAATAGCGGCGGCAGGCGCAGGAGCAGCGAGGACGGCGGCGGCGCCGGTGGCGGTGAGAACCTTACGCCGTCCCCCGGGACGACGGTTGTGGACCAGCAGACACGGCCGCAGCGGCGAAGGAGAGAGCGCGAGCGTGTTGGTGCCGGTGGTGCCGGTGCCGGTGGTGCCGGTGGTGCCGGTGCCGGTGGTGCCGGCGGCGGCGGCGGTGGAGAAAGGCCGACAGGAGAGGACAAGGAGTTTAGCGCGCAGCAGAAGTCCAAGGTGCGGGGCGACTATTTTTTTGTAGAACTTGTTATTTTTTGCTTTGGGTACTCGGCACTCTTGTGGGTTACCGCCACCATCTTTTTCTCCCCAAAGAACTGGTTGATGCACGTCACACACAACACACCTCGGTGACAACCGCCTCTGTCAGCGCGTTCAGCACAGCATCGACCGGGTCAGATCATCCCCGGCTGTGTTTTTTGCTAGGTGACTTCCACAAGAACGTGGCCTGTCGCACCGACCACCCTGAAGCTGCTGCTGCCATTGTGATGTCTCGCCGCGTGCGCTTACCAAGCTGTGATTATCGAAACGCTCGAAACCTTCAAGCACTAGTTTTTTCCAGCGTATACCCCCCCGACAAGAATCTCTCGGAGTTGATAAAGGCAATGGGCACACCGAAGGATGCCGAAGGCCGGGACCAGGCCGGGTCTAGAATCATAGAAGGGTGGGAAGAGCTGGTAAACACAACAGCAAGTAGAGTTCTAGGTAGAAAGTTGATAATTTGTAAGAGAGCAGTGAAGTGGTGGGACGAAGAAATCAAGCAAGCAATTCGAGTACGTAGAGAGTCACACGCAAAATATGCGGCAGGGAAAACAGATGCAGGATGGAAGGAGTATGTTGAAAGTAGAAAGAGGGTGAAGGAGTTGGTCGTGAAGAAGAAGAAAGGGTTGTGGGAGGAAGTAGTCCAAAAGACTAACGAAGATTTTGAGGGGGGGATGATGCAAATGTGGGTAGAAATTCAAGGGATAGTGGGCAAGAAAAGAGGGGGAGACACGGAAATAACGACACTAAGATCTGCCGAGGGTAAGATGGTGAGAAGTTCTAAAGGAAAGAGGGAAGTACTAGTAGAGCACTACCGCAAACTTGGGACACCCACCACCAACGACAACTTCGACTCGGAGTTTGAGAAGGAAATCAACTCGTGGGCAGAGGAAAACGTTGAAAGATCTCGGAGGGAACGTAGTGATGTAGACGGGTTTCAGGGAGAGTTCACACGAGAAGAGGTAGAGGACTGCGTAGCGAAACTCAAGAATAGAAAAGCGGCAGGGGCTGATGGAATTGTGAATGAGCTTTTGAAACAGGGGGGGGAGGGGATGATTAACATGTTGGTCCGGATATTCAACTGGATATGGAAACACGAGTACGCGCCGAAGAGATGGAGAGAAGGAGTAGTCGTGAACCTGTTCAAAAAGGGGGATAAAACTGACCCGGGGAATTATAGAGGGATAACCCTGCTGAGCACAGTGGGGAAACTGTTTGGCAAGATGATAGACAATAGAATGGGAGACATGTTGGAGGGGAAACAAAAGATCAGCGAAGGACAAGCTGGATTTAGACCAGATCGTAGTTGTGTAGACCATGTATATACGTTGAGTAAAATTATCCAAGGTAGGAAAGACGCCGGGCGTACGACATACTGTTTCTTCCTAGATGTACGAAAAGCCTACGACACCGTATGGCGCAATGGATTGTGGAAAAAGATGTGGGACATCGGGACCCGCGGGAAAATGTGGAGGATGTTGAAAAAGATGACAGAATGCACAAGAAGTGCGGTGATGTTGGATGGGGAAATTTCGAAGTACGTGGATATACTCCAAGGAGTCGCACAGGGCTGTACGATGTCACCCACTCTTTTTAAGATTTACATCAACGATTTGGTAAGTGCGGTTGAAGCAGTAAGACAGGGAGTCCAAGTAGGGGGAAAGAGTGTGTCCGGACTGATGTTTGCAGATGATTTCGTGGGGGTATCCGAAACACCAGAAGGGTTGCAAGAACAAATAGATGCGGCGGTAGGATACACCCGAAAATGGAGACTGTCGGCGAACGTAGGAAAATGCGCAGTAGTGGTCTGTAACGAAGACAAGAAAAATCCTGTAGAATTCAAATGGAAATGGGGGGAGGAAGAACTACCGGTAGTAGACAAGTATACGTACCTGGGAGTAGAGATTTCGAAGGAGTGCTCATGGGACGCACACATAGCATAGTTGATTGGGAAGGGTAAAGCTCAGATAGGCAAGATGGACGAGATCCTTACGGACCCACACCTAGACACTAGGATTAGGAGGTGTATTCTCTTGAATGTGATTGTACCTAAGCTAGAGTGTGCAGGAGAGGTATGGGAAGGTAACGAAAAGGCCGTCAAGCAGCTGGAAACGGTGCAGATGGCAGCGGCCAAGAAAATACTAGGATGTTCAAGTACAACGAGCAACACTGTATTGAGAGCAGAATTGGGAATATACTCTCTTGAAACAAAGAGAGACATGCAGAAGTCGAATTGGCAGTACAAGGTAAGTAGAATGTCGGACGATAGACTACCAGCCATGGTTGACAAGGCAGCTTGGGGAAAAGCGACTCCAGGGAAGAAGGGAATTAGATGGGACAAGGTGGTAGAGAAGGTTTGGAAGGAGATAGGAGACGAGGAGGAGACGTTGGACACGGAAGGGTTCGGGGGGTTCAAGACGAAAGTCAAGGAGATGCTAGAAAGTAGAGAGGAGGCAACCCTTCGGAAGAAGGTACGAAGCGAAGACCACTTGGAGATATACGGGAAGTTGAAAGAAGGGATAGGGATGAAGACGTACTTGGACGGCCCCATGGACTACGCGAAAAAGCTGAAATTGCAATTTCGAGTAGGCGATCTGGACTTGCCAGAACGGAGGAAGAGGTATACCAGCCGTAGGAGAGAGGAAGAGGAGGATAGACACACATGTCCATGTGGCAAATTGGAGGAGAGTAGACCCCACATTGTTGGGGAGTGTGAGTTTTACAGGAAGGAAAGAGAGGATCTCGAGGAGGAAATGAGACAGAGAGGGTGTGACATGGACAAGTTTGGTAAATTAGACAACAGCGAAAAAACGATCGCGATAATTGGGGATAGATGGTGGGCACAAGAGGCCCTAGAGGACGGGGATAAGATGTGCAAGGAATTTTTATGGAGTTTGTGGCAGAAACGTAAAGAGCTCCCAAATGTTGGTGTCTCTAGTAGGGGTAGGAACGGTGCTCCGTCTCGAAAGGGACGCGTGGTCAATGGTCAAATGACTACGGCAAGCAACAAATGAGTACCCCCCCCCCAACGCACCAGCTATATCCCGAACCCCCCTGCACTCTCCACAAGCAGTGCCACCTGCTGTGTTCCCAACGTATAACACCCACCTACATTCTGTCGTTGACTTTTATTGGCTTGCGGACCCTTCGGGTCCATTGTATTTCCGCACACCTTTTTTGGGTAAGTTAGCCTGTGACCACGGGAATCGACCCCATCAAGTGTTAGAATAGTTCGGACAGAAGAAGGTACTGGGCCGAGAGAACGGAACGTTTTGTAAATGTGAAGACAACAACAACAACAACATGCAGACCCCCTTGCCCTTTCACGATGCTCCCTGCCTGCTGCTCCACCAGACCGCACTGGCTGACGCCCTGGATAGCACCATCCTCGGCGACCTGTGGTTCGAGCGCGGCGAGCTGAAGGAGGCGAGGTACGAGCACCTTCGCGCGCTGAGGATACGGTCGGCTAGGCTTCCGCCGGGCCACCCGGACATCGCTGAGAGCCTGGAGAGCCTGGGGAACGTCGCCATTCGCGAGGTGGGTTTTTGGCCTCGTTGCTGCTGCTGCTGCTGCTGTTGATGCTGTCTACTCCATTTACCACTGGTGTTGCAGGTGATGATGCTGCTGCTGCTGCTGCTGCTGCTGTTGCTGTTGATGGCTGTGTCTGAGTCTGTGTCTGTTGTTGTTTCTGCTGCTGCGGTTGATGTTATCTACTCCGTTTACCGTGTACCGCTGTTGCTGCTGCTGTTGATGCTGCTGTTTGGCCTTCCGTGAAGTAGAACCCTGCGGCAATGTGTCCCTGCGTTTTCATCGCCAGCTGTACAGATGTAACAGCAGTAACGACGTTCAACGCGTGCGCGCAATAGTTTGGATTGGAAGTGGCAGTGTTCTGTTTCCTCTTGTGCTTCGCTTGGTCCGGCACCAGCAACTTCAACCCCCTTCAAATATCAAACATCCAGCAAACCAAGGTGGAATAACGCCGTTCGCGACAAGACAAGGTGTCGAGGATCAAGAGAAAATAATTCGGTGTTGAATTTCTCCTCGGTGTCCCCGCCCTTGTCGTCAAAAAATGTACGCTCTTCTCATCCCTCAGATTGTATTGTATGGTTGAGGTTTTTCTCGTCAAAATGTATGCTCTTCTTATCCCTTCGATTGTGAATGGTTAATGTTTTTCTCGTCAAAACGTGTGCTCTTATCCCTCCGATTGTATTGTATGGTTGAGGTTTTTTGTACAAAGTTGACGCCCAGAATTTATTTGTCATGGCCACCGACACCACCGCCGACTTAAATGGACATTTTTTTTTTTTGTGGGCTTACAGGGGAACCACCTGGAGGCGGAGGGGCTCCACAGGAGGGCGCTGGACATGCGCACGAGGGCCCTCGGGCCAAACCACATGGACGTCGCGGCCACCCTGAACAACCTGGCCGTGTCTCTCAAGGGGCAGGCTGGTGTGTTATCTTGCTGTTGTTGCTGTGGTTGTGCTTGTTGTTGTTGTTGTTGTTGTTGTTGTTGTTGTTGTTGTAACGTCGCGGCCGTTGCAGCTGTTTGTTTTGTTTGGGAACTGTACGCCAAACAAGCGTGTGTGTACGTCAGACGTCGAGAGACCTACGCCTACGCGCCGAACGAAGGTTGTTCAGGGTTAGGGATATATACGTTCCATCTCCGTCTCGTCTCCTAGCCGATGCGTGGGCAACAAGGTCATGTGGCGTCGGCAAGCAACCATCGAGTATGCCCTACTGTTCCAATGCCATGATGGTTCAAGACTCGCTCATCCCTCCCCCGCCATCGTCGTCGCCTCCCCCGCCCCCGCCCCCGCCCCCGCCCTCGTTGCAATGTTTTGGATAATCGTAGGCAAGCTTCCCGAGGCCGAAGCGGTTTGCGCGCACGCGATGTCGATTGTGGAGGTTAACGACTCGCAGGGCCACAACACCCCGCACCTCATGGCGGCGCTGCTTAAGCTCCAGAGCAAGATCCTCAAGCGCCAAGGTGTGAAAGGGTGCGGGGGGGGGGGGGGGGGG